TTCGAGGGACATGACCATTTCCAAAGGCAACTAAAGTTGGAGATACCCTAGGGGTGAGAGTGTGCAATAATGTGCTTTTTTCAGGTATTTTTATCTTGATGTTAGTGATCTAAGATTGATTGATTAGTTCTTGCCATACACGCCTAATTTACTAGCAGTTTATATACAGGCATATAATACAGTATAGAAAGTAAATTGCAGGAAATAAAAACTCCTAAGCTATTACATGGCCTTGAGGAAGTTACAGTTATATCTGATTGAAATGTAAAGTGTAGAAATTAAAAATCCTAATTAAGCTAATACAAATCGGGCACAGTTACATAATTAAAACGGAAAATAATAAGCGCGCGGAGATTAAGACGGGAACAAGTTTGAAACCCTAAAAATCTAACTGCTTAATGAAAATATTTTTTGGTATTTTATATGAAAAAATTTGAGATTTAACCTAATTTCTAATTAATTTTAAACTAAAGAAAATAAGTTAAAATCAATTAAATTAAATTAATTTGTAAAAATTAATTTTAATTAAAAAAAACTCTAAGTCTTATTTTTATGATTTTATTAATTTATTTTATGATTAAAAAATGGATTTAAAAACATAAACTAATAAAAAAGAAAAATAAAGTAAATTTAAGATTAATTGACGGATTAATTGACAGGTATTATAACATTTCTCAATTTTCCTTTATATTTTCAAAGACCCCCTTCATTTCAAGATTTACCCCTTATCATAAGAACCACTATGGATGCCTTTTCCCAGATGCACCATTCCATTAAGTATGAGTATAACATTCAAAATTCATTCTTCTTCCTCATTTCCATTTTAACCAAAAACTTAACTTCAAAAAAAAAAACTTTCAACCCATATTTCAATTTTTTTTCATAACAACATCCAAAAAATTCACATTAAGTTTCAAAAATCCTAATTAATAGATAGGTTATGTTGATTTAACATCCTTTTTTGTCTTGTATATTATAATTTGAGTTTATTTTGGTCTCATATATTTAAAAATAATCATTTAAACCCTCAACTTTTCAAAATGTATCAAGTTAGTCCTTTTTGTCTAGTTTGATAGTCAAAATCAATGAGCTAGTTTATGTGGTTGTGATATGAAAGCCAAAAATATGCCAAATGGAATGCAATCTTTGGGGTTTGAACAATTTACGCTCCAGTATCAGGCCCATAGCAAATGGTTATTTGCCATGTTGCACATATATCTAGTAACCATTCTACTCACCATTTTGAAGTTATTGGGTAAGTCTTCAGACAACTTGCATAACTTTGGATGATGTACACCTTTGTACTTCTTGTGGAACCTTGTTTCGCAAGTAATATGACATCTACTTTTGATGATGATAACCACCTTGATGACAACCACCATGATGACAACTATGATAATTCTAGTATGAACATTAAGAGGCTAAAGATGCAAACCTAAGTATTATGATTTTATGAACTTGACTATCCAATGAGGGCAAATTAAATGGAAGCAATCTAAAGCCTCATATCAAAAGATCTAACGCATTGTATACATAAAGAAGAGTATCTGGCAAAAACTTATAGAAAAAGAGAAATATCTTAATTTAGTAAGTGAGTGATCATAAGTAAAGCAAAGGGATTTTTCGGTAAGAGCAAAGGCTAAAACACACACACACACACATATAGACTAAATTGTTTTTCAAAATTATTTTCCAAAAGAAAATACTTAGAAAAACATCTAAAACTTATATCATATGAACTAGGAGCTGTCAAATAAGCCATGGGCAAAATTTTGACTCTTCTAATCGATTAGATGAAATGTCCAATCGATTAGATTCACACTAACTTGAGGCCCAAGATAGTTTGAATGCACGTTGATTTTTGACAACGTCTAAATACTTTAACTTTCCACAAATGATTTACAGAAATGAAATCCATCTCCCCCATTATTTGGAAAAAAAATTAATCTTTCTCATGCTCGCGATTCTGATAAAGAAGTTAGAGAAATCATTTACCAAAAATACGACCCAAAGATCCTTTATAAATATTCTAATCTCAAAATTGAAAATGAATTCTCTATAAATATTTCACCCTATTTTAAATAATTTAAATAAAAATTTAATTTCTATATAATATTAATATAGGGAAATTAGAGTGTTAATTTCTCTCTCTCCCTCTCTCTCTCTCTCTCTCTCTCTCTCTCTCTCTCTCTCTCTCTCTCTCTCTATATATATATATATATATATATATATATATATATATATATATATATATATATATATATATATATATATATATATATATATATATATATATATATATATATATATATATATATATAATCTTACCAATGATCAGAAAGAGGAATGGTCGGTCCAAACTTCCGTTGATCCAAAGCGTTCCACAGAAGGGGATGTACCTGTAAGACACTCCGATGTTGAAGTTAGAAAGAGTGAGAGGTAAGCGAGAGAGTTAAGTTATCAATTATAATACATGACCCTCATGTATATGAGAGTATTTATAGAGCCTCCAACGTTGGGACAATGGTCTCTATTATAGGCCGAATATCCAAGCCTATAATGGATGACTGCCAGGATTCTCACGTGAGAGTGAGGATGAGTAGCACATGCTCATCATCCTGAGTAAAGTGTCCTAAACTTTACAGATAGTGGGCTGACCACGTCCGTTACGAAGGACGTAACGACTCTGAAGTGTGCAAAACATGTTGGTGACGTGTCCTCGAATGAATGACACGTGAGGAACATGTCTTCAAGTTGAGCCTCAATGGATTGGGCCATCATTTGGGTCGTCCACGACGTAGGGGCAAGTTGGGTCGTGTCCAATAGTGGGTCAGCCCTAGGCCCAGTCCAGAACTATATATATATATATATATATATATATATATATATATATATATATATATATATATATATATATATATATATATATATATATATATATATATATATATATATATATATATATATATATATATATATATATATATATATATATATATACACACACGCACACACACAAATATCAGACCGTAAATAAAATTTTATAATATTTCTTTTCAACACATTTTATCAATCCAAAGAAAATTGTAAGAGGTTAATTTAAAAAAGGGGAAATGAGGGTTGCTCTTTCCACCCTTACGTGTCATCTCACACCACTATGAAAAATTCAACTTGTCCTTATAGTCTAGAGATGCATCTTCGGACGCACCTATTTTAGTCATTTTTCAGACCAAATTAAAGAAGCGCCTCTATTGTGCCAAAAATTTATCTGGAGATGCATCTCCGTATGTGAAAAGTGCATCCAAAGATGCATCTCCGGATATACCATTTATTCATACAACTGTGGGTTGTACAGAGATGCATCTTCAGACGTTTTTCTTTCATATTGCGTTACACTGCCTTTCCTACTTCCTTCTTGTTCGTTTTCTACAAAAAAAATTCTCTTCCTCCTCTCAATATTTTTAGCTCTCTGTCTCATTCAAGCTTCTCTTTGTAGTAAACTTCTACCATTAGAGCTCTAACTCCTCCTTTCCATCATCTCATAACTCATACATTCAATTTGATTTGGTATATTTTTAAAAATTCTATCTCTTTTTATGTTTTGATTTGTAGTGAGTTGTTTAAGCTACATTAGTTGTTTTATGTACATGCATTGAGGTGTTTTAGGGTTGTTAGGGAAGAAATGGTGTTTCTGCCATGAGAGTCAATAACAAGTTTGTCAGGAGATGCATCTCCGAATTTGCTCTGTATTGTTTTCAGAGATACGTCTTCGAATTGGACTCAAACAAAAAATTGGTTGATTTTGTGGAATTTGTAAAATTGTCCTGACATGTTGTTTATATGTGTCTATATTTCTAATGCATGTGAAATGGTTGGAAACAACATTGGTAGAATTAGGCTCGGGGTGTGTCCCAAATCGCATCGGTACGACATAAGAGGGTCGCAACGAGGACCACGAGGCTACGAGTTACTAATAACTCATTTGATGATGAATCTACTTTGCAGCCCCGAGGTCCCACTCGTCTAGTTCTCGTAGCCGACTCTCTCTTGAATATGATGCAACATATCCTAAAGTCTCTAAAGCCCTTGAAGCGTAGGAGGAAGCCGTTGTCGAAGCTCCTTTAGAGGATTACCCAAGAAACCCATTTAACACCTCCTTACTTCATCTATATGTTGACCATGTTGCTAGGTGTGTATGAGAAGAAAATGTATATTTATGTTCTTTTGACATTCATATATTCTCTAGTACTTACATTAATACTGTTTGTGATATCTTTTTACAGGAGCATTTGTGTTTGAAATCGGTGAACCACGGTCGAATGATATTAGAGTTGGAACAACCCACAACTGCTTAGTCTATTTACGTTATTTGCTATTCTTGTCTTTGAGAGTCTCTCTTGATCGTATGGTACCAAATGATATTTGTTTCTCCCCATACGAGGGTCACTGTCACACGTGTTAGTTTGACATTATTTTCTTATACTCCGGATGACTGGCATGTGGGTCATCTCTTATGTATCCTTATTTGTCAGAGCGAGCGATGTACAATTTATTTACTTGTAGGTTATTCTGAGACCTCTCTATGACTCTACTATTCCCAACATCTGCCATAGAGATCTTGGTGTAATACTGGATGATTTCGAAATATCACTGGGTGCTAGCTCTGTTTCATTAAACATGTGTTGTTGAGAACTACATGACATGGTTCTATAAGATGTATCAAAATAATATATAGAGATGCATCTCCGAACTTATTCCGTTTAAAATGAGGCGGATGTCAAAATAACATATTTTAATATGTTGGAAGATGCACCTTGAAACACATAAAGGACAATTTAAATTTAAAATTTTGAGGAGTGTCTTATACATATAAAGAGTATTTCCCTTAGATATTAATTTTAGTGAGGTGTGGCCCATTTAGAAGAATATATAATAGAATTCAACGGAAGAGAAACAAAAACTAATAGCATAGCGTATTTGGAGAGAAAGAGGAGGAAGTGATGGGAGCAATCACAAGCGCAGTGATAGCAGTGGCTGCCGTGATTCTAGGTTGGATCACCATCGAGATCGCATGTAAACCTTGTCTTGAACAAGGCCGTGAAGCCATCGATCGGAATCTCAACCCCGATTACGATCCCGACGACGACAACGTCCGAGCACCACTCAACCCTGCTACATCCACCCCCGACGCAGCCGCCTCTTCCACCACCGACGCTAAATTCGTTTCATAACTTATCGTCAATCCCTCACTGGTATTGTTTTTACTTTGAACAAGAAAACAAATTCATGTCTATTATTATATACTTGATTTCAGAATTGGATCCATTGTTGTTGAAATATCAATTTGTTGTTAATTGATGTAACTAGCTTGTTTAAATTGTGCAATTTCCACCAACAAAATGAAAATTTGAGTTGAATAATTGTGTGATAGAGTGATCAAGATGTTGATATTGTTAGGGATTTGCAATTACTTCTATCACTAGCACTGTCCTGTTCTGTAATTGGTTGCTCAAGACGTTTTTTTATAAGCGGTTAGTATGCTAGTTGTTATGTTGTCAGGGATCGAACTCGGTCTTTTAACACTTTCACTCTTTGTGTCTCTGCATAGCTACCAACCGAGCTCACATTCGGGTACGGAGTCGGTTAAAATTCTAACATGTTTGAAGGAAAATTGTCAGTTTGAGAGGCTATTTTTGGTTGCATTTTGAAGAAATTCAATTATGTTCATCACTTTAAAACTATGACGATGAGTATAATATGGAATGTGTTTTGATTTAAGATATACTGCATTCACCTCTCCTAAGTCATTCATTAACAAAGTTTCACACACCTTCCCTTGGGTTAACAACATTTAACCATCTTCAATAACTTTGACATACTTTTCCCCCTTTTGTGTCTCTGAAATCAGAAGAACTCAAAAAATGTTACATTTTGTTGTTTCTTTCTCATCACACATGATATTATGAAGTGTCATTATGTCACACCTTTCTTCCGTTTACTGGATTATATGTCCCAACAATTACTGGTTTTATTGGTTACTGTCATGGGAGAAGAAACTATTCTCATATTGCTATCAGTTACTGGATTACGGTTGGTGCCGATTTTCCTGCTGTTATGTTATTATGGTTGCTGTCATATATCCAAAACCATGTTAAACCATCTTTCTAGTGCCGTGATTACACACTGGATGGATGCTATCATGTTTGGTACGCCATATTTGTGAATGTGTATATCAAATTTCCTGCAAAACCTTGTTTTGGGTACCATATTCAAAACTCAAGCTATATTGAATGACAACCTTTAGTTGAAAAATATTAAGAGAACCAGGTTTGGCATCTGTCAATTTTGTTGTGCAATTGTGAACAAAATCGAGCATAGCATGCTGAGTTGTATAGGTACTGGTATGTATCCGGTTGTGAAACACTGGTACATCATTTTAGGCAAAGTATTGGATGATACAGTTTCGAGCTATTTTAATGGTTGTTGTTGTCACTGCTCTGCCATTAGAGTAACAAACGTATGTAATATTGAAGCTCCAACTCGTTGCTTCAGTATTTTTCATGTTTTTATGGTCTTGAACGTTAGAAAGCATATATTATCAACAACATAATGTTATACTACCTAATTATAAGATTCTCTTAAATTTTTTTCTTATCCCTTTTTATAAGACACTATTCAACTTTCAAAAGACATTAATTATTTTTTCCAAATATACCTCTAGTTATATACACATTAATTATTTATCTCTCCTAAGGATAAATTTGTAAAATTATACAAAATAGTCAATAAATTTATTACTCTAACAAATTTTCTTAATTTTTGCAATTTACTTTACATAATCTTATATTTAGAGACGAAGGTAGTAATTATCTACTATGTCTTGCTTTTTTTTATTTTAATTTTTATATTTTTAATAAATCTAATTGTTGCTTTTTTTTAAAGAATTAATTGGGTTTTTTTAGATAATCATTGAAGAATTGTTGAGCTGAATAATTGAATATTAACTTGACTAGGTATCCATCGATTAAACTACTATTTTCTTCTCTTCTTTTTGTGCTTAAATATTGATTAAACTAATATTTTTCTTTTACTGATGTTTTATGAGCAACAATAGTTCTAACAGTCCTCTTTGGGCTTATGTAACGTTGGTGCAAAGTAAGAATGGGCCAAAAGGGAATATTAAATGGTGTTGTAACTATTGCCATGGAGAATATTATGACTTTTTGTTGAGGAAGAAGAGTAAAGAGATAACTATTTGTTCACAAGTGACAAATGAATTATTGGTTAAGATGCAAGAACTTAATAGAAATGCTCAAAAAATACAACTCATACAAGTTTCGTTTCAACTTGAACTACAAGTCTGAATATGCCTATTTATAAGAATAAATAAAAAGAAGTAATAGATCTTTGTCAAAGACATTTAATAATGAGGCAAGAGACAGTTTATATTCTGAAACAGTTAGACTATTTTATTCCGTTGGTTTGTCATTGAAGGTTTGTCATTCAATGTTGCTATAAATTCTTACTTTTCTATTGCATTTGTTTATGCAACAAACACTTCTTTATTGAGTTATATTCTTTCATGCTATAATGTCATAAGAACTACCATGCTACAAAGAGAGAAAATCAACATTTTGAAACTACTACAACCTATCAAGGACACTTGGCCAGAAAAGTGTGTGAATCTAGTTGTAGATGATTGGACTGATGTACAAAGAAGATCATTGATTAACTTTATGGTAAGATTGAGTGCATGATTTATGTGTTTGAAAGTTATTGATGCTACAGGTAAGTGCAAAGACAAACATTACATTGATAATTTAATATCGCATACAATTGATGAGGTTGAAGCACACGATGTTGTCCCTTAGTATGTAAGATTGTTGGTTTAATTGTTGAAAGTGTGTATTCTCATATTTTTTTGATATGTGTAGTGCCGATATTGGATTTGACTCTTTTTTTATGATAAACTGATTTCATAACTAAGAAATAGCCAGCGGCAAAACTACATCAGAGTTCAAATGGGGTGAAACACCAGACCAAGTCAAAGACCCTAACACCATTCCCACCCCCAACAAGCTTATGAGCTTCAATATTACAGGTCCGAGGAAGAAACATAAAGCAAGCATTACAAAAGTTACTCATCAAGGATCTACAGTCTATAACGATATGCTCAAGAGCGGCAAAATGAACCACATTATTGATACAATCAACTTCGTTCAAGCAATCAACTTCGTTCAAGCAATCAGACTGCACAATCAGCCACTCCATTTGAAAGTTTTTTGCCAGCGACAAGCTCCACCTGATAGCCAATATTTCAGCCACCAATGGATCCAAATTCATCGAGTCTTTCTTGCACGTAGAGAACAGAATTTCACCAGCAGGATCTTTAAAAATACATCCAAAGGAAACTGAATTTCCAGGAAAGACGCCGACATCCACCTGTAAAATATGAACATTTATGGGACTGTAATCCCGAGTGATTTCAAGCTTTTTCTTAGCAGAAAATTTTGGGTTCCAAGAGTAACTCCATGACGCAGTTAAGCGCCTCCTCCGCCACGCGAATCGGATCTGAAGACTTTTACTGGTACAGAAGAATGTTCCGCGCCAACCAGACCTTGTAACTCAGGGTATACAAAAGTTGGCACTAAGAGGATCCCCACAAGTGAGCACCCCTAAAAGCCAGTCCATGAAGTCAATATTATCAGGCAATTTATAGCTCAGAATTGAGGAGAAAAGAGCATGTTATGTAAACTCACATTGAAGAATAATGTGTTGCACCATCTCAATGGCAAAATGGCAAAAGGGACACAAGACATCAAGCTGGGTACCTTTCTTCAAGGGGTTATATTTTGTAGGAAGAAAAACTTTTTCAGCCCATCAAAGAAAATTTCGAATTGTCAGATTAACTGGTGCCTTCCAAATTTCTTTCCATAACTTTGGGTCAGGGGCGCACAAAAGACCTAGGGATTTGCAAGCCTTCTCCTGTTGGCACAAATGAAAGGTCGAACACACTGAATACTCACCATCTCTTTCTTTAAGCCAAATAACTTTGTCTGCAACTTTACAGGAGGACAAAGGGATGTTGATTATTTGCATTGCGTCCTTGATAAGTGAACATTGTAGTTATTTTTGTATATACTTTTTGTTGCACTTATCGAATCTTTATTGTTAATAATCGTTGAATAAATTCGACTTTTATGTAAATATATTTAGTTTGTGTATTTGTGTTTTTTTGTACATAGTGTACTGTTTGATATTTTTCCATTCATTTTGTAGGTATTTGTTGCATTTTGAAGCATCGAAGAATAAGGTGTCGAAAGCATGGCTCTGGATGCGGGCTTTCAGAATAAAAGACCAGTTTTGAAAAGTTTTTCCCAGGAGACCCCGCTTAGCACGCAAAAGGCTGCTAAGTGCGAGTGCGCTCATCGTATTTTGTAGTGCGCTGCTTGTGTTTTGACATTTTGGCATAAGCTTAATTTTGGAGCCCGCTTAGTGGGGATAGTGCGCTTAGCACGGTTTAGGTCGGTTTAATGTGTAATTATCGCGCAACCCGCTTAGCGCGGTGAGCCCGCTAAGCGCGGTCTGCTGAGATTTGTTTTATAACTTCATTTTCAGTTCATTTTTGTTATGGTTTTTGGGGTATTTTTGTTCCCAAATTCCATCAACCTTATTTTTGATAGATTAACTTAGAAAACAACACTGGGGTCTTGCTTATGGATGATTTGAGGTGGATTTCTCATCGACCGACGCTGACAAACCGGAAGATTTATGGTTTATCTCTTTTCATCTCTATGTATTTTTTATTTTGTTGGGTTTTGTATGTATTTTTACTTTGAACTGAAGGTGTGAAGAAAATGCAAGAAATGGGGGATTTGAATTGGGTTTTCCTTTCTTAAATAACTTTCGCTTCTAAGCATTATTTGTTGAACAATGCTTCTGAGTGTTACTTCTAAGTAATGCTTCTAATTAAGTTAAGAAAACATAAACTCTAAAGCATAAGCAAAAGTAAAGAACACGTGATATATCCTGGTTCACTTGAGAAACCCCTAAGCTAGTCTGGTCCACCCTACCAAGGTGATTTCGTCTTGAACTCAAGGACTTAATCTACTATAATCACTGATTACAATCGTACAGGCAACCGTAGGTGACTAACATCCAATGACGTGTTCAAGAATCTAAATTGGATATAACGTTCATTGACCCAATAGAATCTGATCCCTCAGAATATCCTACCAGGATTTCCTTCCAATGATATCTGTTGTATCCCAAAATTTTCTCTCTCATTTATCAAGTATTTTCTCACAAGATCTCCTTTGGTTCAAGACTGCACTAGGATTGATCAACTCAAGACACCTCTTTAAGCACTGATGACTGAAATTAGGGTTTGAGATTGCACAAGTATAATTGAACTTTTAATGCCTCATATGACTTTTATGGATCATTATGGACCCCCAAGATTACTCATGTCAAGTTTCAAGCTTTGAATCACATTTTTGTTTAGTCAATTAAGCAGTTGACCTAAAAATCAGTTGTATTTGGGAAAAAGTCAACCGTGGCCAATTTACAGTCAAACTTCATAATTTTTTACCCATATAAACATTATAAACTCATATGTATCATTTGATCAAGTTTGGACCACAATTCCTCAAGAAATTTGATCAAATCATCAAAAGGGCAAAATGGTCAAAATTAGGGTTTTGACTAAGAAAGGACAATTTCTTATTTTTGACCTAGAAAATGGTTAATTGGTTTGAGGAATTATCTTAAGAGTTCAATTTCACCATTTTGACCTAATGGCATGACTCAAAATATTGCTCAAGATCAATTGGATTGATAGTTGATTTTCAGTCAACTGATCAAAGAGTCAACTGTACACTGAAAAGTCAAACTTTGACTTTTTGTTCAAAATCAAGTGCCAAAGATCACAATTCATCAAAACATATCAAAATATGAAAATTATTCATCAAGAAATCAAAAATTCAATATTTCATTTTGAAAAGTCAAAGTTTCCAAACTTATAAATTTTTCTAAGTGTTAAAAACTTCATATTTTTCACAACTTTGAGCCAATTTTTCACCATGATGCAAGATGATTCAAAAGAAACTTTCAACATGAAATTTGTAGATCTCTATGATATCTACAACATTTCTTTACACAACTTCTCATATAAATGCTTGGATCTCAAGTTATTAATCCATGAAGTCATGGTCATGAAACTAA